GTCTTCTTACTTTATTTCCCACCTGTCTTGCACTTACTCCCTTCTCTAATATATCAATATATTACCTCTTGGGGTATATAGGGCTTTTAGGGAGGATTAGCCCCTCTGGTGTGAGACCTTGCCAAGTCCTTCTCAGGGTTTCTTATCTACCTTTGGTGTCCACCTCTCACCCAACTCCATGTGCAGCAACCATGCCCCATAAAACAATCTTGGCAGATGGGCTAATCCAGGCTAAGGGTAACTGAGGGGCCTCAAACCCACCAGTGAGGTGGGGAATGCTTATGCCAAGTACCAGGAAGACTTTCCCGGGGAAATGGGAAAATGAGAACAATGTGTTCCAGTGGCCCTGAAGGCAGCTGAAGAAGGTGCTGTGGAGCACTTAGAGCTTGGTCAGACCTCAAAGACACCAAGGTCATGCATCCACTGCATCCCAAGACATGGCCAGTTCTGACTTTTGTCTTGCCACTATGACTCTGGAAGACAGAGTGAGGAGGACAACTTTGTGCAACTCTGCCTCGCTTAAATACAGTTTAGGAGTGAGTCAAGCCATCGCCCCATGATGTTATTGATCCTCTTTGAAAATAAAGGACGAACAACAACAGTATCACCTCATCCTCTCTGATCCAGTGATACTGGCCTCCTGTTCCTCATACAAGACTCCTTGTCTGGGTTCTGAGAACTTTCACTGGCTGTGCCCCATGAAGGGAATGTTCAAACTCCTCCTTTCCTCCTTCTATTTCCCCCTACTTCTTTCAAGTCTCAGCTGAAATCTGACCTTCTGCAGAAAGGCCACCTCCATTCCACCCTGTGTGCATCCAGTTGTTTGCATGCTGTCTCCTCCATTAGATTGAGAGCTCCTTGAGGGCGGGGATGATTTGTGTCGCTCTTTGTATCCCCAGCACTTCACACAATGCTCAGCACATAATTAACATTTAATAAATGGTTGTGGATTCGACTTGGCAGATCTCAATTTATCTTCACAGTAACTTTAGAAGTTGCATTATCATCCCCATTACAGTCACACAGCTAGTAATTTTCTGAGGCTGGATTTGAACCCAGGTCTTCCTGACTCTGAGTCCAGTGCTTTAACCAGCACATCACTTCCTAGTTGTGTGGGCAAGTCACTTTATCTCTCAAAACCTCAGTTTCCTCATCTATAATTTGGAAGATAATAGTACTTGGATAACTTACCTCACAGAAGTTTGTTTTTAAACCTAAAAGTGTGATGCAAATGTGAACTGTCCTTGCTGGAGAAGAGCATAGCATGACATTTAATACAGCACAAACTGCCCATAGTTAGCTTAAACACACACACACACACACACACACACACACACACACACACACACACACTAAGTGCACTGTTCAACAAGCGAAACTCAGTGAGAATTTTTTTTTTATCTTTTTCCTTTTTTTTGATGAGGCAATTGGGGTTAAGTGACTTGCCCAGGGTCATACAGCTAGTAAGTGTCAAGTGTCTGAGGCCGGATTTGAACTCAGGTCCTTCTGACTCCAAGGCCAGAACTCTATCTACCACGCCACCCAGCTGCCTTGAGAATTTATTTTAAAACAGATTTTCTTAAGGATAAGCTTTAGGCAAAGCATTTGCTAGAAATGGGAAATTTCAGAGTAATTTAATAATGATAAAAAATGTTGGTCCCACCCTGAGATTTTACCATTATAGGGAAATCCTGGCATGTAAAATCTCTCCACATACGCTGATTAGCAACTCCTTTGCAACAGATTGTCTTAGAACATTATCTGGGAGAGGTCAAGTGACTTACCCAAGGTCACACAACCAGTAGGCATCACAGACAGGATTTGAATCCAAATAGTGGTGTGCTGAAGGCAACTAAAATGGTCTCTAGTGAGCAAATTGTTAAATTTTCAGTGTGAGCATTTATACTTTGGAAATTGGCAAAGGAGGGGCGGCTAGGTGGCGCAGTGGATAGAGTACCAGCCCTGAAGTCAGGAGGACCTGAGTTCAAATGCAGTCTCAGACCAAACACTTGACGCTTCCTAGCTGTGTGACCCTGGGCAAGTCACTTAACCCCAATTGCCTTAAAAAAAAAAAAGAAAAGGAAAGCAAATTGGCAAAGGCTACAGGAGGCCTTCATTTGGTGATCCCACTTAAGAAAGTGTTAAAAAATGCAGATTAAACTTCAAAGTGTATCCTAGTGTACATTTATTCTCCAGGCCCACCCTCCAGCCAACACACTCCTGAACCCAGGTCTTCCTGATTCCAAGCCTAGCTCTTTAGCCATTATGACATGCTGCCCCCACTTCCTATAGACCCTATAGTTACTCATATGTTTAAAATTGTATCTAAAATAATTACCTTCCCACCCACTCTTCCTCCATGGAGTGATTTGGTTCTTTGATTTTCTTTTGGTCTCAAGTGCCAAGAATGGAATATTGCTCTAAGGAGTGAGTCATCTTTTATAATCAGAGTTAACACCTGGCATCAACCCCCCCCCCCCGAATGTTATGTTAGAAGTACCTTGCTCAAAGGTTTTTGTGTTTTTTTTTTACCTACTCTACAGCCAATACTCCTGTTTCTGGGGGCCCTGTAAGGGATTGAGCATGTGATTCTCAAACAACAGATCTCATTTTTCCCAGCCATAAAGTAACATTGAGCATGTATGATTTTCACTTCCAGTGATGAGTTCACCTTTTATTGCCTTTTATTATAGCAAATTACAAGGCATTGGGTGGTAACAGAGCGGGTCAAGTAGATAATTAATGAGAATTAATCTGTGAAGAGGAATAAAATCTCATATTGGATCCCTGTTTTATGACTCGGTTTATTATGCAAGTGTGAAACATCAAAGGACACTAACCCAACTTGGCACCTTAATTATATTTTATTGCATTTAAGAGCTGTATGGAAATTTTGCCTTCTGCCAAGAAACACCGGTGCAGACCAATTATCCTTAACTGGACTATCAGAAAATGGAAGGTACTGTTACTAAAAGAAAGTCGCTTATACTTCACCCTACGTGGAAAAGAGCGAGCTGATACCACTGCGGGCCTCAAATAGCACAATTTCACAAGCACACGACTGAATGGCTTTCCTTCTTAAGGTAATCATTAAACCTCGCTTACGCTTACGTAGAGGCAGCTTGGAGTTGCAGGACCTGAATTTCAAACCTAGCTTGGCCACATATTACCTGTGTGACCCTGGGCAAGTCACTTAACCTCCCTAAGTCTCAGCTACCTCACATCTAAAATAAGGCAGTTTTGCTTCTAAGAATTAGCCCAAAGAGGTCACCAATAAAAAGAAAGGCCCCTTATATACATAGAAAAAAAAAATTATGGCAACACTTTTTGTGGTAGCAAAGAACCAGAAACAAAAGAGATTTTTGAATGGCTAAATAAATCACAGTACATGAATATTATGGATGTGTTATACTGTAAGAAATGATGGCTGTAGAGAAACATGAAAGACTTAGCTGAACTGATGCACAATGAAGTAAGCAGAACCAGGAAAACTATATAAATGAATTTTAAAAAAATACGGAAGGATAAGGATGTTCCCCTTTTAGGCTTCGACAAAGTTGAAAGTCATAAAGGGAAACATTAGAGATGAGGATTTATCTTTTCATTAGCAGAAGCCTTGCCAGGTGTTAGTTTTACTCTCTTAAATCCTCTGTCCTGAGGTTTGTCACTTTTTGGAGAAGAGGAAGGAGAAGAGAGAAAACTCCTTTCAACAATTGCTCATAGTTCAGGACTGGTTCCTTTGGGGAAGAGACCTGTCCAACTTATGGTGGCCATCCCACACATTTCTCAAAACTTAAGCTGTGCCATGATTAGACTGGCCATTTCCTCAATAATCATCAAACTTGGGAGAAGGGAAGGTTTTTTTGTTTTTGTTTTTGTTTTTTAAGGCATTTCAGTTGTTTTATGCAATTAGATAGCTAAGGAAAATGGCTTGAGGTGAGCTTGCTCTGGAATCCTATCATTGTATGGTCAGACTCAGATTCCCTTTAAGATACGTTGTTGTTGTGCAGTCATATCCAACTTTTTGTAACTCCATTTGGGGTTTTCTTGGTCGAGATACAGAAGCGATTTGCCATTTCCTTCTCCAGATCATTTTACAGATGAGGAAACCGAGGCAAACAAAGTTAAATGGCTTGTCCAGGTCACACAGCTAGTAAGTGTGTGAAGCTGGATTTGAATTCAGGTCTTTCTGACTCCAGGCCAGATGTACATCACCTAGCTGCCCCCTATAAGATAAGGAATGCCTTAATTATATTTGAAAGTGCCTCACCACACCCTTAGCTATAAATGGAAAGAAATACAAAACAATAGAAATTGAATTCTGTGAAATAATAATAGTAAGTCTTGGCCCCAAGGAAGAGGTATGAGAAGGCAGCTCCCTGATTCTCTGCTTCATTGCAAAGGGCAAAACTAGAGGTATGGAAAGGTAGCTAGGTGGTGCAGTAGATAGAATATGGTACCAGGCCTGGAGTCAGAAAAGTTCAAATCTGGCCTCAGACACTAGCTTTGTGACCCTGGGCAAGTCACTTAACCCTTTTGCCTCAGTTTCCTCATCTGTAAAGAAAGCTGGAGAAGAAAATTGCAAATCACTCCAGTATTTTTGTCAAGAAAACCCTAAATGAGGTCAGGAAGATTCAGACATGACTGAATAACAATAAGGGTGCAGAACACAGATTACAAATACCACATTTTTAAAAATATGTTGGCTAGTTTTTCTAGTTTTTTCTCTCTTTTTCATTCTTTGTTATAAGAATATAAGTGATAGCTCTCTAGAAGAGGGAAGGAGAGGGATATACTGGGAAATGTTGATGTGAAAACAAAAGATAGGACAGCTAGGTGGTGCAGTGGATAGAGCACTGGCCCTGAAGACAGGAGGACCTGAGTTCAAATCCGGCCTCAGACCAAACACTTGACCTGCACTAGCTGTGTGACCTTGGGCATGTCACTTAACCCCAATTGCCTCTAAAAATTTTTTTAAAAAAAAGAAAGAAAACAAAAGATAGCAATAAAAATTTATTTTAAAAATGAGGGGGGTATATTAGATGATTCCTAATTAAATTCGTTCAAACCAAAAGAGGCACTGACTGTATGGCAAGCTTATGGCTAGCAATGCCTCCCACTCAGAGAGGGGACAAGATGGTTCATCTGTCATTTCATTTCTGCTGAATTCTCGGAAACATTCATAGATTCATAGGTTCATCAATTTAAAGCTGAAAGGAATCTTAGAGAACATCTAGTCCAACATGTTCATTTTACAGATGAGAAAATCAAGGCCTAGAAGGCTGAGGTGAATTATCCAAGGTTATAGAGGGAATAAGTGGAACCCAGGTCCTCTGACTTCATGTCCAACACTCTTTCATACTGTATTGCATTTCCAGTTCAGTTGCTGGTCCCAGTAGAAAAAAGACCACCTTGTTCAATGATATCATTGATGTTCTTCTACCTATAGCAAAGAGGTTAAGAGCGGACCCCACACATGTGGTGAGGGCCACCTGTGGCATACTTGTCGTTGTGTGTGGCTCAAAGTGGGGCAGAACCAACATCTCTAGCCCCTTGTTCCCCCACCCTTCTCCAAGTGAGACTTTCATTCCCGGCAGGGGAAGCAGGAGGTTGGGGCCAAAGGTCACCACGATGTTCTCCTCAGAGACAGGGGGTACTGGGTTAGAAGTGTATCTATCTGCTCCCTTACATATTATTAGTCTACAGAATATGATTGGGTTCAATCTAACTTTTGACCATTTTGTCAACAGAGGGGGCAAAGGGACCCCAAGATCTATATCTAAGGCTTGACTGCTTCCCTACCTAATACCAGTTCCATAATGAATACATATAGAGGATAGCAAAGAAACCAATCTACCTAGCAAATTAAAAAATTTAACCAGATCATTTAGCAAAACAGAAATCAGAGATACACAGGAGAATATGTACGATAATAAAGAGGGAAGAAATTTGCCCATTGGTAGCAAGATAACTTAATTCAACCAAGAAAGAGGCTCTTCGATTCCACTCAACAGGAATCGCCCTGGAGTCTCTCCAGTAACAAGCTGGGAATAGGGACATGATGGAGGCTGTCCCCCCCTCTCACATCTTCACAGAGTATTTTCCTTCAGAAACCTGAAGTCGGGTTGGCCTCTTTCATCTTCTCTCTTGAAGCTGGAAGCCCGCTCAACACCACACCTGAAGACTCTCACTTGGAGAGTACAGAAGAGAGTACACTCACTTGAAAAGTCCCCCTTAGCACTTGCCTCTCGCCTGGCCCCTCACACACAGCAAGGCCTTCATTTCTAGCAGTAAGGAGAGAGTCCTGTGCCGATGGGCTTTGGGACAGGAGCTATATTCCTATCTTCTTTTCACCATGAAAACCTAAGAGAAAAGGAGTATTGGGTCAGTAGAATCAAGGTTGTCTGGTTCCAAAATAAAAATCCTAGAACTTACCCATCTTCCTGGTCTGCCCACAGGTAAAATGGAGACAGTGACACTAAGAGACTTTGAGGTCTTGCCTCACAAGGACATTGGGAGGCTTAGCTTGAAGCATTTGTGTAGGGGGAAAAAGGGTTTGGATTTTTCTAGCTTGCTTTGATAGATATATTTCTAGCAATGACAGCTTACATAAGGCAAGAAGACTTAGTGGCTTCCTCAATGAAGGAAGATTTGAAGATGCTTTTGCAAAAAAAAAAAAAACTAGATTGCTACTAATATAGTCTGTTTCATACATAACCCATATATCCCTATGCATCCCTCCTTTCTCTTCTTCCAGAGAACCATCCCTCATAACAAAGGATAAACAAGAGGGTGAAGGAAAAAATCAGCAAAACTAGCCAACATACAGAAAAGGCATAGAATTATACGAAACATTCTAGTCCCCCCACCTTGCAAAGAAGAAGGGAAGGGGTAGTGTTAAAGGGTTTTTTATTTTTAAAAAAACAGGCCAATGACCCTTAAAAGCTATGTTGTGATGGAAAGAGCTTGACACTAGCCCCTGGTAATCTGGATTTTGCTTTCATCTTTCCTACATGTCCCAATTGATTAGTCCCATCTTTTCATAACTGCTAATTTGTTCAAGGGTCATTGGAATAAATTATGGCTAGTAAATTTGGAACAAAAAAGGTAAAGTCAGAATATGGAGGAGAAAAGGGAAGAGTGAAGGTTGGGGCAGGATTGAACTTTGAAGTAGGGTGGTTGATGACTAGCAGTATTTGTAATGCTGCCAGTTAATGGTGGAGAAAACCAAATTCATCCTTCGTGATGGGAGCAGATGACATTCTGGAATCAGAAAACCCCTTTGCTAAGCATATAACTATGGAGAATCTATAAAGTGAGAAAGGTGATCCTAAGATCCTTTCTGCTTGAAATCCATTATCCAATGAACCAATTCAGCCTATGAAAATTACTACCATCAGCAGTCAATATTGTATTTCACGGATCATGGATTCTTGAGTCCTTTGTGTTCTGGTGTGGATGTTCTAGCCTAATGGTGATTCTTATTGCCTACCTATCAAAACAAAAGGTAAGAAACTGAATTTGCAATGCCTCCTTTGCCCTGATTTTGGTGAATCTAGACGAGTCAAGCAGCCATTCTGTGTCTTGGTTTCTCTTTCTATGTGTAATGAGGATTCACTCTGTTTGCAAAACCTTTGCAATTAATTTAATTAATGAATCGGATGAAATTGAGAAGTTCTTAGCCTGAGGAAAACTGAGAAGACAAAAAAGTTAAATGTTTTTGTGATTATCACCAGTGCTTGGACATTTTACTCTCTTGCATTCTTCTTCTAAATGCCAAGGAGATATAATTAGCATTTGTTTGATGCAGGAACCAAAAGTCCCACAGGTTTTCTTCCCCTTATGCTTGTCCCTTTCACTGGCTTTGAATCAGTTCTTACTGAAAACTCATCTTCGCATTTTTTGGTGTCAAACCTCAATCTATTTTCATTTAATATACTTCTTACAGCTAGGACCATGCTTAAGTCATCCCTATGGATTTGAGGACTGTATCTTACTCCTGCTTTTTGTATATTCAGGGCTCTGACATCTGATCCCTTTGCCCTTTGATTGTTCCACCATGAGGAACAGCCACTCTCAATTTCCTTTGCACATGGTGGCATTTCCTTCCAGAGGCACCAGAAAAGGTATGGGGCAGGCCTAATGGGAAAGGTCTAACAACAGACGTAAGCCTGCCCCGCCTTCCTTCCCTCCTACTGTGTGCAACTATAGTAAGAGATAATTTTCTGACTTTGTGAGTCATCACCACATTTTGATAATTCCTCTATAAAATAGGGTATCATAGAAAGAATGCTGAATTTAGAGTCAGAGAACCTCGGTTTGAATCCCAGCTATGCCTCTTCCTCCCCGTGTGATTTCAGGCAAATCAGATGAGCTCTCGATGCTTCGGTTTTCTCATCTGTAAAATTAAGGGGTTAAATGTGGTGATCTGTGAGGTCCCTCCCATCTCTAAATCTGTGATATAATGATTCTAAATATTAATCTATATAGAAACTTGAAATTGATGGGGGATTCATTATCAACTCACATCCAGAAAAGTACCCACATTAATCTCTAGTTTGGAAAGTTTGAAAAGAATATGGCTTTACCTCTCCTATCCATCACCACTACTGCTATTACCATCACAACTATCTTCTCCCAGATCCTTGTTTTTGTTTTTTAAATTACCTGTGGCCTGAACTACTGAGTTATTAATGTGGTCCGACAAAAATAAATGGCACATCAAATTTCCAACAGATAGGAATCCAACCCTGCCAGATGGTCAGGTAAAATGATAAGCAGCATGTGAAAACTGACCCTGGGTAACCTCATCTTCAAAGCCCCAGTCATTAAAACGTAATATGAAAGGGACATTGGATGGCTTCAGACGGCTTCAAATATATGCAATACATCTACACACAGCACATGCAATGCTTGCCTAACTGGATTAAGAACTTTAAGCAGTGTTCCATGGAATCCTCGACATCAGAGAAAGTTTCAAGGTGAGGTAGCCTCCAGTAAATCAGAATGACGCACAGCACACACCTTAAAGCCTGAGGCCCATGCTCTTTATTGGAAAGTACCACTTAGCATTATTGTTCACTATCCTGCTGCACAAAACCATCCCTTCTTGGCTTTCATTCAGTTCATCAGGCCTGACTGAGTTCTCAGTGTTAACTCACTATTGATGGCGGTTCCTCCACACTGGATGTCAGCCAGCTGGTCAGAGTCTACATTCAGTGCATTTTAAAAATGATCTTTTGTCTGGCATAGAATAGGTATTGACCACTATCTTACACCGCACATACACAAAAAAGGTCAAAATGGGTACATGACCTAGATATAAAAGATGATATCATAAGTAAATTAGGAAAGCATAAACATATTACCTATCAGTTTTATGGCTAAGAGAAGAATCCATGAATAAGCAAGAGACAGATCATTGTGAGATGTAAAATGGATAATTTCGATTATATTAAATTTAAAAGTTTTTGTACAAATAAAACCAATGTAGCCAAGATTAGAAGGAAAGCAGAAAATTGCAGGAGGGGGGACTTCTATAGACATTTTCTCAGATAAAAACCTCATATCTCAAATATATAGAGAACTGAGTCAAGTTTATAAGGATATAAGTCATTCACCAATTGATAATGGTCTAAGGATATGAGCAGAAAGTTTTTTTTCTGATTTTTTGACATTTTTATTTAAAATTTTGAGTTCCAAATGCAATCCTTTCCTCTCTCCCTTCCTCCCCTTCTCCCTCCCTGAGATGGTAAGCGATCAGATATAGGTTAAACGTGTGCAATTATATAAAATGTTCCTATGTTAGTCATTTTGTATAAGAAGACTCAAATAAAAGAAAACAATGAAAGAAAGTGAAAAATAGCATGCTTCAGTCTGTATTCAATCAATATCGGTTCTTTCTCTGGAGGCAGATAGTATGCTTCATCATTAGCCCTTTGGGATTGTTTTGGATCATTGTATTGCTGAGAATAGCTAAGCCATTCACATTCTTCATCAAACAATATTGCAAACAGGCAGTTTTTTGAGAAATCAAAGCTGTCTATAGTCATATGAAAAAATGACCTAAATTATTATTGATTACAGAAGTGCAAATTAAAACAACTTTGAGGTGCCATCTCATACCTATCAAATTGACTAAAATGTTAGAAGGGGAAGGAGACAAATATTGGAGGGGATGTAAAAAAATTGGGACACTAATACCCTGTTGGTGGAACTTTGAACCAATCCAACCATTTTGGAGGACAATGTGGAATTATGCCCAAAGAGTAATAAAATAAAACTTTGACTCAGAAATACCACTATTACATCTATTTGCCAAGATGATCGGGGAAGAAAGAAAAACTGTATGTTCTAAAATATTTATAGCAGCTCATTTTGTGGTGGCAAAGAACTAGAAATTGAGAGGATGCCCATCAACTGGGGAATGGCTGAATTAGTTATGGCATATGATTGTGACAGAATACTGCTGTGCTATAAGAAATGACAAATAGGTTGATTTTAAAAAAATGGAAAGACTTGCATGAAATAGTAGAGAGAGAAATGAGCTGACCCAAGAGAATGCTGTATTCAGTAAGACCAATATTGTTTAAAGAGTATCTGTGAATGACTAAGCTATTCTGAGTAATATAATCATGCATGTCAACTCTGAAGGACGTATGAAGGAAAATGCTATCCACCTCCAAAGAAAGAACTGATATATGGAGGTATGTATTGTATGATTCCACATTTATACCTATATCAAATGTTGTCCTTCTCTAACAGGGAGTTTGGAGGGAAAGAGGGAAGGAGACAACTCAGAACTAAAAATGTAACAGAAAAATATAAAAATAAGCAACTAAATAATCCTTTGTGCTTACTGCTGTGGCCAATACCAGGTCACAGATTTCAGTCTGGAAGAAATCTTAGAGGCCGTGTAGTCTGAGGCTCTCATTTTTCAGTTAAGGATGAGAGGGCCATAGAGGGGACACCAGAGTTTACCTAGGTCACATGGGTAGCAAAATGAACCTTGTTGCCTTTACTCTGAGGTAAGGCTTAATTTATCCTATATACCTTTTGTTGTACACACTGGTTCGTGCATTGTCTTCCCCATTAGACTGTGAGCTCCTTGAAAGCACCTTTTTGCCAAGGTGCATAGTAAATCCTTGTTGATTGGCTGGCTGATCATGTAGTTCAATACTATGCTTCATGGATGTTCTCTAGCATTTCATCTAATCCTGCATAATTTGTTGGTTGACCTGAATCCATTCAACGCTCATCTACTTCCGCATCCTACTCTCCCATTCAGCTGTTATATAAGTATTTACCTAGGTCCCATTATGTCCATGATATTCTGTTCTATGCTGAAAACCAAAATCACAGCT